TTTGCGGATTCTATTACCCTGGCTCCGGATCATGATGCTCTAATGTGAAGCCCGGCGTGGGTGCTGTCTGAGGCGATGGAGATCGACTATGGCTGCCTTCGGACTCAGAGCCTATGTATACCATAGCAAGTTATCGGTTTAGTTTAGCATTATGCAAATTACACTCACCGCTACCTTCATCAGAATCATTGCGACCCATTTTTCACAATTTCAATAAATAAAAAAATAAACGCGTTCCAGCCACTAATAAACGTCAATTTGACAAACTGTCAAAATTTCGCTGAATTCTGGAATGCACTACCGGAATTCATTGGAAAGCACTACCGGAAAAACAGGGTGATAACGCGGCAAATGTAGCTGTCGATAAGTCCCTGACAATTTATCGTATTTTCTGTTTTGTGCAATAGTCCAAATACACCACACAGATATAGGCCACAATACCATTCCCACGACAGCCGGTTCTACGTACCGGAATGACGGGTTTTACCCGACCAAGGGCTGTTGTTTGGGCGATCTAACCTCGTTTAGGTCGGCGAAGTATCTCAGAAGTTGCTCGTCCATAGGAATACATTCGCTACGTATTGTTCTTCTCAGGGTTGGCATCGAGTCAAACCCAGGGCCAGAAATCTACATCAAAGAAGGTAAATTTATAAGGGACAACTCGTTACTTTAAAAATGTGCCGCAAGCGATTTTTCTATCATCGATCACTCTTTCTTCAACGTCCTTTGTCGCCGCGAAATCAAATTTGCGGCGAATTCATTTACGAAACTTGATGTCAAAACGGACGCGAACTCCTCGTGCAAACCTTCTAGACTCACTCGCCACACTTCAGCGAGTTGTCTCTACTTATAGATTTACGTTCTTTGGTTTTATTTGATTTTAATTCTGGTGAAGATTTCTATGACTGCTTTTACACAGTTCAAGTATTGAATTCAATTCTGCTCACATGTGGAAGAGAGGGAGTGAGAAGAAAAGGGACGAGTACACATGCGTCTGTACCGTCAAGTCGTTTCAACTTGCTTTGCTTTTGGCATTTCCGTTGCTTCCCATTTAAAGAACCAAAAACTTGAATTCAACAGAATTGAAACGTGTAAAAGCAAATAGAAACACACAAAAGAGAATGAGCAAGAATTGCTTTCAAGTATTTGAATCATGTAAATCGGGTGTATGAGTATATATGAAAAATACCTTCATTTTGAAGATAAATCCAGTTTTATGGCAACACTGTGTGTCATATTTGGCTATCAAGAGAACGCAAATACTTATCGAATAGGAGATGTACGACTTTTCTAAAATCAAACAAATGACTGGAAACGCAATTTTACAAAGTTCGCATCGAAGTAAACAAATTTGTGAGTAAAGGTAAAATATTTATTATAATGCCTAAAGAAGATTGCAAATACTGGGAGAAATGCTATCAGAAGAACGTCGCACATTTAGAAAAGTATATGCATCCTCCAAAAGAGATGGAAATAGAAAATTCTACCGAGGCGACATCAGAGTGTGGCTTGTTGAAGGAAAAAGAGGCGCCTAAACGTAAAACACCAACTATGGAGGCGAAACGCCAATCATCTGATGATGAGTCCACAGATCTTACCCAAAAAGAATGCACATCTGCATCTAGCAATCAGACTGTGTCTGCTGAAAGTAAGGAAATTGATACGGCCGAGCTACGTGCTGAAGCGCTCGGCAACATTGCGGGCAAAAATTACATGGAAATACTTGCCAAGCGTATTAAATTCTCAGTTCAGGCTGAATACGACGAATTATTGCGTAGCAATGAATTTATACGACATAAATTTCTCGTCGAAATGCCACCGGATTTCTATGCATTTTGGAAATTTGCTTGCAGCTTGAAGAAAGACAGCACCGGCGAGCAAGTTTTGGAGTACTTTGAAAAGCAGTTCCAACTTCTGTTGGTGGGACCGTTCGAATTTCTTGCTGGACGCTTTCACAAGGCTACAATACGTGAACCCGGCGATTATTTGCGGCACTGGCGTTTCTTCTACGATCCTCCGGAATTTCAAACTATTTTCGTACGCCATGATTCCGGAGTTCATTATGGGTATTGGCGTGATTCACCGAAAGAACATGATTGCCTCCTGATGGCACGCAACGATGCAGCAAAAGGTTGCAAATTTGAGTTCATAGCCGGCAGTGCATTTGACGCTTTTCTACATTATCTCGAAAAGGACTTTAAGAGCACACCTTTTACTGCAGCCGCAGTTGCGGCAACGCGTAAGGCACTGCAACAATTTATTAGCGTAAATGAGATTAAAATAGAGAAGTTGGAAACGTTGCGCAAACGTCGTAATGCTAAAGTTGTTGCCAAGACACTTCATGAGGCTGGCATTGTAGTACCGTATGATGGTAAAACCCAAGTTGGTTATAGGCCGCTAACCGTATCGGATGGAGAATTAAAGAAAATACTGGATTTTTTTGTTAAGGCAGGTGCATCCGATGATAGTGGCGATAACGAGGAGGTCAAAGCAGCCGTAATACAGAAATTGCAACCCGTCGCTACAGCTGCCAATATTGCAATGGATGAATGCGACTTTGGCACAGCTCTTGAATTAGGAATCGACCTGTTTTGTAGTGGGCGCCAGGAATTGAATTCGCTAGTGCAGTCTTTACTAGTACCGGCGTATTCGCTATTAAGTCGTCCACAATTCATTGCTATATCCAAAGCGCACATGGAACAGCGTAGGAAGTCTCATAAACTTAGCATTTTCGAATTAGATAATACAAGTAAAGGGAGCAACTAAAAGCATAGCTTTAATTATAAATTTACAAGCGCATCATAAAGTAAAAAAAATGAGATCTTTCACATTACACATATCCTGTTTCCATTTTTTATTTCCTTTGTAACCAGTTTA